TGTAAGGTTAGCCTGGTAATATTAACTGCACCATGAAATGTGGGATATACATATTGAATTGTATAATATTATTAATGTTGACAATGTATTATGACTAATGGAATATAAGTACAGTATTTAATAATGTATTTAGCTGTCAGGCTATTGTTTTTCATTCAAAAAATACAGAAACCATAAAGTTATGCCATGATAGTGAGGAGCTAAGTTATAGGCTATACCTGGTTTTATCTGTGGTTATCATGATCTAAATGCATGATACTGAATGACCAATGGTTAATTTGAATGCAACTCAAACAGTCAGAATATTACTTTTTACCAAATAAAAATGTGGTTGTTACATAAGAAAAAAAAAGGAAAAAAAAAACAGATGTTACTGTTTTTGTTAGTGAACATAAATTTAAAGAGTAGTTTAAAAACACAATTAACACTCTGGTTTATACAACTTTGTTGCAAAAATCTGCCTTTAAACTTGAAAAAAATAAATATTTGACATATATCGTGATAATTATCGATATCGACTGATATAAAACAATTATCGTGATAATTTTTTTTTGGCCATATCGCCCAGCCCTACGTTTGCATACTTTAAGACAGCTGAAGTGAAATAAATGCAATTTTTGTCAAAAACACAGACATTACAGATATTTTTCTATTTGATACTTTAGCACTGCTAAATACAACGTCTGTTTGTACAAGAATAAAGTTCAACATAAGACTATCAATGAAGTGGGACCTATTTTGATAAATATACACAATGTAACAGGATTCGACTCGGGAATTGGGGTCGACTCCAAAAAACAGGAATCAAACACCCCTAAGAAGTGGTCATCTCCCCACACACTCTTAAAGAAAATGATTAGTTCATTTTGCAAACACTAGGGCTGAAACGATTAGTCGGCATTGTCGACAATAAAAATTGTCGACAAATATCGTTGTTGTCGATTAGTCATTTGATCTCACTTGACTTAATGTAAGGGTGTGCACTATCGTGATTTGACCGCTACGGCGCTGTGGTGCAAGAGTGTAATGCAGCCCTTTACAAATGCTTTTGCGGTAAAAGAAAAAAAAAAAAAACCAGCGCAAATTATGACGGAGTGCAAACGAATCCGAACTAGTAAGGTTTGGGAAAGTTTCACAAAACTTAAAACCAACAATGCTGTCTTGTGCAATACATGCAAGGCAGAACTTGCTTTTCACGGGAGCACATCATGCATGTTGGAGCACTTAAAGAGGAAACAAAAGAGGAGCCATTGAGAATTGAGTGTTCTCCAGCTGGAGCTAACTAACTAGTGGTAAAGTAAATCTCTTTATTAGAGAATGCAATATTACTAATAATAGTAATAATATTATCAATAATAATATAATTACAGTAATGTGATGATTTATTTTGCATAGAACAAAGTTTGATCGAGCTTAGAAGTCAGGTCTGTTTTTATTATTGTAACAGTAAGTATTTTATAGTCTTATCACTTGCCTCTATTTTGTTCCATAATCATGAAGACTTACAAAAGGAGATGTTAGGAAGAATAACATGGCAGTTACTTTTTCTTTTTCATACTGTAAATTAAAAGGTGAATGAGAACTTCTCTGTCATCTCAATGGGCTATATGCATGCATAAGTCCCGCATTTGACGCAAGGATGCTCGTCCATTTCCAGTTGTGGAAATTAAAGTGGAGGAAAACGGGATTATGGCAGTCTTCAAAATTGACTGTCCTCCGGTTTTTGAAACGAAACTTTCATACGTTTAGATGTAATTTTATATAGTTATGTTTATTGAATAGAATTTTAAAAAGAAGCATAAACACAACGAGGGGTGTCTGTTTTATCTGTTTTGTGACTAACGTTTCTTTACTATAACCATGGAGTATAAAATTCAATATAAATTCTCTGTATTACATTGGACTCTACGATCGGCGGAAGTTATCGAGCATCCTTAAACCTTCACTGGAAACACCGCCGTGCATAGAGCCTATTGTCATGTAAAAAAAAAAAAAAGAGATTGTAATTTTATATTTATAATAATGGTTTGCAAATGATTTTTTTTTTTTTTTTACCATTCTTTGTGTCCTGAAGTAAATGACCCTTTTTCGGTTTCAGTTCTAAGAAAAGTAGTGGTCCTATTAAACAATGCTTAAAGAGCATTTGATTGTGTTCATGTATATTTGAGTTGGACTGAAATCTGAAAACTTAAAAGAGAATGACCAGTTTAGTTGGCTCAAAATTAATTAAAACAACTATTTCAAAAGCTGAACTGATTTTATTTTTGTATATAGTAAGAATATGTATAACTCAATGTTTTAACTAATAGAAAAAGCGACTAATCGTTCCAAATTAGCCGGCAAAATAACCGATGATTATTAGTCAATTAATCGTTCTAATAATCGTTAGATTAATCAATTATCAAAATAATCGTTTGTTGCAGCCCTAGCAAACACTTATCCAAAGTGATTCACAGAATCGGTACACAAGCTCAAATAGAGGTGAAATTCAGAAGGGAAGAGAAAGAGAACAGAATGAGTCTTTGACAGAAACGCAATTTTCTCAGCTTTCTGCTCATTTTTTTATTTTTATTTTTTTTAAGAAACTTACCCACAAGTGTTGTTGTTGATAAAAAGAATGAAGCTAGAATAAAACGGGTCTTTTGTTTAAACGCAGAGGGTCTTTTTATATATTGGTTATTTAAATATTCGCACAACAAAATATTTTGGAGGCCATGAAACTGATCAAAAATGCTGGCAGTGGCTGGAAACTTTTTTCAAAAACATTAGTGGGGAAAATTATTTGAACATCTTGGGAAAACACGCTTTAAATGAACACTTAAAGCACTCAGGATTGATGACAGATGTAATAAAGATTAGCACACAGAGCAATTCTGCAGGAAAAAAATCTAATGCACTGATACCATTAACATTATATCTATCATAAAGATTACTCAAGGAGCTGAGAGCGTTTTAAAATTCACACAATAATTTTACGCACACATCCCACAAAGCTGAGTAAGCAGTACAAAAAGCACATAATTGCACCCAGCGTGGACAAAAATCATGTGTTTGTGCTACTAATGGCTCCATGTGACGTTCACTTAAAACTTTAGAGAAACAAGTGGGCTATAACACAATCATTATATAAGCAATAACTGTACACTTAACATGTGATGATGTGTTGTTTTAACTTAAACACTGATATCTACAAATGTCATAATACCCAAGCCGGTGCAGATGTATTGCTTTTCAAATATACTGGTTTCCAACAGTCTGAAAACGTATAAATCGGTGGTTATAAATTGATATAACGCATTAAGACAAGCCAGAGACAATCTGAGCGAATGACTCAGGACGAGTCTGTCCAACACAAAAATAACACAGACAGAAGACTTATAATAACACAGTTGGATCATTCAAAATGCTTTCAGTCAATAATATTGACAATTATATTTTCCTATTCTAGAAACATTCTCACAGGAAAGGATGCGCTATTAATGATTAGAAGTGAAGAAACTGGATGAAGGTGAAGTTTTAAAGTTGCCCTTGTGAAAAGGAGAAAGCAGAGATTTCATGCGGAATAATTTATGGGATATTGTTCACCGTACAAGACAAAAAAAGCTAAGAGAGATTTCATGTGCATTTTGCTGGAATAATTCATGTGATATCATTCACTGCACAAGCAAGAAAAGCCAAGAATCTGCACATGATAAGACAAGAAGTGCTCTCGGTTACATCACTATACAAATATCATGAAGTAACAAAACTTTCCTGACGGGTAAAAACAAAGCGAGCGTGAAAACTGGCAAGCCGGTCAATCGCAATGAAGACTGATTATTCAAATTCAGTGTCTGGCTAATAAGAAACTTTTGTCTTAAACGGCCCACCACCTGAGGCTTCAAGATCTCTCGTTTAATTGGAGAGCTGAAGAATTAAAGGATTTCAGAGGCATAGATCCGAGAACAAAAGCCTTCGACACGGAGATGCTAAAGGATCTTGGAGAGGTCAATTCAGCCCATGTTAATGGCTTGGCTTGTCACACACCTTTACATGTGCCGGTGCAGACTGAACTCACACATTACCATGAGAATAAACAGATGTGTGTATGGGTTACAGTTCATGCAAATCTGCATAAATAAACTACTAGTCTTTTTCTTTTTTTTTTCTGTATACCCTCATTCTTGGGAAGGTAGGGAGTTCTGATATTTATCATGGATATATCATTTTAGGGAGTCTGATTATATTATGTTAACACATTTATTTGAATTCAGGAACTTATCTTTACACCCAAGAGTCTGAAACGACACTGAAACATGTTGTTGATGTTTTAGTTCTCATTTCAAACTTGAATTCAAATGTTTTATGATTTAAAGATGAAAATCCAAGAGCCCACTGGAAAAAACAAACAAACATTATCATCAGCTTTAGATAATGTGGCTCATTTATGTTCCACTTTTCAGTCGAATTGTAACGCTGAATACATTGTTGATGTGAAATTAGCTTTTTAAAGCATGCATTAGAAAAAAGCAACATTTTTACTAGTGATCTTTGCTTAAAAAACTGCAACTTGTAGTTCATTGATAGAGACCTCCATGAACACACATGAACTCATCTTCTCCCTGCAAAGCTGATTATCTGTCAAGCAGCTGCCATCTCTCTCTACACACACATGACACACACAGACAGATAGCTAGATAGATAGATAGATAGATAGATAGATAGCTAGATAGATAGGACGTATGATGGATGTTGCACAGACTGGCATGTTATAAACTCCAGCTGATGGCACAGATCAGCGAATAAAACAAAAGCCCGTTGTAGCCTCACGTGTGCTGAAGAGCGCTTCTGCTGCAGCAGCTGAACATGCATGATTCCTGAATGCTGATAGGCTCCTGGCTCCTCGAGACTGAGTGCAACATGTAGCACAGGAAGGAAACTCATTTGAGCAGGCCAGAGAGGAACATCTCATGGCCTACTACATCCCCATCCACACCAGCACACACACACGCAACACATACCTGGAGCTTCTGGACGGGCGTGAATCTCAAGTCATGCACGAACGGGTTCCTGAATGGAGGAGGCAGCTCGCGCTTCTGTCCTCCATCCGCATGTGTGCTCTTGATCAGCCTCATCCTCGAAAAATCCCAATCAATTGCAGTCACCGAACCGCCGTGATATCCGTGTCTGCGTCCTTTAGGCCTGCGGATTCCTCTCGAGCGCGTTATTATCTATCAGTCCTGGAGCTTGAGGAACGTTGAGGGATTAGGAGGATCATGTATTTGACGAACACTCCTCTTTCCGTGTGCGCAACAGCAGCAGTCAGTCCCGCTGGATGTCATGGAGGGACAGAATCCTGCCGGCTGTGCGCATGCGTGGGCCCGCTCCTCCTCCGCTCACGCCATAAGATACTCCACTGTGATGTGACTACGCATGCGCAGATCCTCCATCCGCTTCAATGGGCGGTAAAGGTTTATGGCTAACAGTTTTCCAAATATGAGGGACCCCCATCTTAAAATTCAAAAGACATCTATCTTTTATGAACACTCAATTTATACACTGAAAACATAATATTAGAAATCTACACTTCGTTTATAAGTTACATTACAATATTTTCTTTTCTGCTCACTGTAGTAATGTAGGCTACTGTAAAGGTGTTTGTTTCTTTCTTTGTTTAATTGATTGATTGTTAACTATATTGTTTAATTTCAACCACATTTTTATTCATTTCAATTTAAAGTTTAAATTCCTATTATCTGACAGATGGAGTTGCCCAGCAAACAAATTTAGGTTCTGGGAACATTAGTTTCCCGGAACATTCTCCTTACGTTATAAAAATGGAACCTAAAAATAACCTGAACGTTCCTATAACGTTCTTGTTTGGTTCCCAAAAAAAATAACCCCATGATGGGACAATTCGGGAACGTTAGGGGAACGTTCTGTGTTTGCTAGTTAACTAAGGTTCCGGAGCGGGGCCACGTCTTCTTTCTTATATCGGGCCACCCCTTACAGTGCTGTTTGGCTCGTTCTCTCGACCATCGCTTCCCAACCCTCTTCTCTTCCCTTCCAGGTTGTATCGGGGGTCCTATCACTTGGCCTACACACCAGACGCCCAGATCAACTTGACTACCATCCCTTTTCCACTTCCACTATACCCTTTTCCTATTAATTACCAACTCTCTTCAATAACAGATAAACCTGACACCTCATTTCCCCTTCCAGTGTATCTTTTCCCTTTTCAACCCCAACTCTCTTCAATAAAATTGTTTATTTTGGAATTATCCAACATTCATGGTTGTGGCGCGATTCTTGCTCGTGAAATACTGTATATATATATATATATATATATATATATATATATATAATTGACAGAAATTATGCTCAGACAAATATACAGCATAAATATTATATAACTATTTCAAATATTGTTTGCCTATTGTATGACCATAATTTCCAAATGACCATAATGTCAATTATTAATCAGTTATTAATTAAGTACTTTCATACACCTCATCTAACATAAACGTTTTTGTTTATATAATATATATATACTTTGTGTGTATATATATATATATATATATATACACTATAAATATGTCTGTGTGTGTGTGTTTGTACAAGTGTTTGTGTTGTGTATACACACACACATATATTGTAAAGGATTATATAATGCATATGTGTGTGTGTGTGTGTGTGTGTGTGTGTGTGTGTGTGTGTGTGTGTGTGTGTGTGTGTGTGTGTGTGTGTGTGTGTGTGTATTAGTGCTGTCAAATCAATTAATTGTGATTAATCGCATCTAACAAGTTTTTGTGTATAATGTGTGTACGTGCACACACATTTTTATACAGTATGGTATGTGTGAATATGCATACACAGACATAGCCTGGCTGCGCCCTCTTACGCACTTCCGCTCAATTTCATGAACTAGTGTCTGGTTGAACCAGGCTAACACAGACACACACACACATAAAATATTCATGATTACAATCATATGTATGCTAACACATACACATATAATCAAAAACTTTTATGTTAGATCAGATGTGTATGAAATTACTTAATTACTTAATATATATTGTGGAGAATTTGCCATCTAAATTTAGATGCCATCTGTCATGTTAACAAATGGAAAGGTCAGCAATCATGTCATTTATTGTGCCTTTAGCAACAATGGTACTTTTTAGCCTAAATATCATATTTTTACTTATCTTTCAAATAGTCTCACTGTCACATTTATGTTGCCACCAGTTATTTTCCATGGTTTCTAGTTACCCCTGTTCACTGTTGATTAACTTCCCTTGTGTATTTAAGGTGGTTTTCCTCAGTTCCTGGTCTAGTGTTAATATTGTGTTACAGCGTGCAGTGCAGTGCTTTGTTTCCCTCTGTGTTTATTAAACATTCGTCTTCCTGTGGGCTCTCTTGGATTGCTGCAGGTTAACGTGACACACAACATATCCTGTAATAGATTCTCATTTGCTACATACTTGTATAACATTTAAAAATATAAAAAATGTTACTTTTAATAATGTTACTTGAGGTTCACTTATAATTTTAACAAGCCTTTTTTTTTTGCATACAAAAAAAGAACTTTTTTTTTTCAACCCTCATTCTTACCCTTTGCTGACATTTTACATTTAAGGCACTGTTCCTTTAAGGCTTATCAGCATGATTTTCTAATGTCATTGTATATATTAAGTGTCAACGGACCAGTGGGCCCAAATCCATTACATTTTAAAACCCTATAATATCTCTGTAATATCCTTTTGTAAAACCTAAACTAATATTGACAAACTATACCATTTGAAAGCTTACAATCTCTAGTTTCCATATTTGGAATTTAAAAAGGAGGAGCCATTATTTATCAATTTGCAACAAGAATATTTTCATACTCCTATAAGGCGTGTTTAGACCTTTTGAAATAGTGATGAACACGAAAAATCATGAAAGAAGGGTAGAAACCTCAGTTTGTTTTCATGCCAAGAGTTGAAAAGAGAGCATCCATTCAATTATTTTAGAAAAAAAGGTCTGAATTTTTTTAAATATAAAGAAAAAAATGATAGATTCACCATTTGTGAGGTATCAGGACGCTATAACATACTTGTTGTTTTTATGTATATGTAACCCCGCCCCTTTTCAGCGTTGCGCTCGTTGTCTTTTGACTTCCCTTCCGGTCTGTATTTCCACAGCATCTTGCATAGGTATGAATGAACTGCTCGTAAAAAAAATTCCCGTTCGACATTTGTTAAGACATCTGCTTTACAATGCTTATGATAAACATTACAATGCTCATGATAACTTTTGTTAACTCTATAAGTAAATCCACTTCACCAGCTAATTACTCCTCGACAGATGCCATAGATACAGAACCGGAAGTTCAAAGACAATATTCTAAAGATGACGGCGCCCACGTTTCTCTGGTGCATAAGGTCTATAGTTTGAATTCATATCATAATCTCATCTGCCAAACTTCTCATATTACTTTTGAATAGGATGCATATAGGCTACTTCATAAATTGTATGAAAACTGTGGAAATAATGGTTCATAACATTTAAAACACAAATGGAAATGGAGGCGCCTTTATATGGGCAGTAATGGAGTTTGGTTGTGACCAGTCCTAATGAAAAAGTTTGGTACGGCGCCCAAACAAAATCACACTGAAAGGTCATTTTTTGAGATATCAATTTGAAACATAGCTTGTTCAGATTTTTGGCTTTGTTTGCAGTTTTAGAATCACCCATGTTTTGAAAATACATATTTTATATAAAATATGAACAATTACATTTTTTACATTGTACATTTTCCTAAACTCAAACTTCTAAAACTTTTTTTTCTGTTTCACTTTATTAATTTATTAAGACTTCACTTCTTAATTTCACTTCTACAAGAAAACTGCCAAATATCTTCTTTAAAACGAGACCAATCTTACGTCTAAATTCCAAAGCATTTTTGAATTACAACCATTTAAGTTCGAAAAGTGCATTTTCATGTATATTTCATATATATTTACCAACACACTGGTAAATACCAGTTCCCAAGTGGAAAATATCATATTTTCCCTAGCACGTGAACGCACCATAAATACATCATGGGGGACAAGCTAAACAAGTTAACAAGGGGGAGTGACTAGGAAACACCTGAACCAACAGTAAAGGTTTGTTATAGCTCGATCTGCGAGTTATGGAGTAATAATTCCAATTGAAAAGATCAATCAATAGCATCAAATATAGACCAATTGCGTTAACATCTAATTTATGCAAAGTGATGGAGAGAATGATTATCAAACCAATTAAACTAGTAATAGAAAAGGAAAAACCTAATATGCTCATGTCAGAGTGGCTTTATAAAGGATGTAATACAGTGGATTCAATAATGTCTAGAATCTGAAATTAGATAGGCAACAGTGAATAAGGTGTTAGAAAGTGCGTTCTTCGATGTGGAAAATGCTTATGATATGCTTTGGGGAATTTACAGTTAAAGACCCAAAGACCTGATATAAGGAATGAAAACCCAGAGTCAGAAGTGCAGTCAATTGAAGGCAAGAGTCAGAATTATACTAAAGAAGATATCAATTTTCAATTTCATCAGGCAGAAGTTAGCTTCAAGGAGTTTGTAGGCCGCCCCGTGTACAATACATATTTCACCACAATACCCTTCACCAAGGTCTAAGCTATGTCATTACTTCAGGTTGAATGTTTCTGATTGTCTTAGAGAGAGATAACACATGGACAGATAGGCAGAAGCATATCTCAGTTGATAATCAGGCTGGCACCCGGACCATGGTTTTCGGCACATAGTGACCTTCCAGGGCAGAACTGCATTTCTGGGCATTTCTCCAACAAGAAGTCATTCCATCTTTCAATAGTGCCAGTTGTTCACCAATCTGTAGCAAAGAATACTAACACACACACACATGGCTCACAGGATCCAGCCTCGTCAAGGTTGAAATTAGCCAGGCTAAACTGAAAACTTCCCCAAAACATCCAGATAACCAGTTCTTTCTCTCAGTGAGAGGTAGACTTGTAGTCAAGACCGCCTTAACCGAGACCAAGACACTACCAAGACCAAGACCGAGACAAAAAAAAACAGACTAGTGTTGAAAGGTAAGCAACAACTTATGAATTCAAGAACAGCAGCATATAGGGTTCACTTCATAAAAGTCGTCTCGGAGACATACATCTCTAGTGAGAGGCACAGACAATACAGCCCATTCTCACCCCCAAGGCGTCATGCTTCAATATCTGACGCTTTAGGCGCCCTTTAGCGTCAGTTAGATGACGCCCTAGGATCGCGTGTACTCTACCCCCACCCCAGACCTAAACCTAACCGCGGCCGTCCTCTCTGACGCTTTCCCCCAGCTAACAAAGTTAGGTTCTGAGAACGTTTTTC